ATTTACACCTTTACATAATCTCTCTTGGTTCTTATTTTTCCCCCTTCCCCGGCCCTCCCTATTTACAAAGACTTTGTTTCCATTTTTTCATTTTCTCATATTAATTCCATTCCCTTCTTTCCTTTCCCCTACCCCTCCCACTTCCTCTTCCCCTTAGCCTCTTTTCTTCCTATTTCCCATTATCTATTGTACCTTTTAGACAAGTGACTCTTGATTTGAAACCTGAGTGATTCCTGGAGAAGCCATAACAAATAGAAGCACTGTAAGTCAAACTCTCATTTTCTGTAAGCATCATCTTGTAAATTCTATTCCATACCTTGGACTCTAATCTCATACTATAGAAATACGCAGAGTAATAACTCTCAAAAAAGAAAAAAGCAAAAACAAAATAAAATGCAGATATATATATATTTTATATATATATATATTTTATATATATATATATATATTTTCCCCAAACATTTATAAAATGAAATTTAATAGAAAAACCAACAATGTTGCATTGGGGGAATGCTTTTGTGTTTTGGACTGAAACTGACTGGCTGAAGCTTCTTAAAATGTTGCTTCCATGAAGTCTAGAATGAAGTTATCTTCTATGATAAATCTCTCTATAAAAATGGCTCTCAACTGAGGATGATTTTGCTCTCCACCTGGGATATTTGGGAATAACATTTTTGATGATCACAACTTGTTGAAGGTGTCGAAGTCCCACTGGGGTTCAATGAGCTGAGGTCAGGGATGTTGGTAAACATTCTCCGATGCACAAGATAGTCAGTGTCCCACAACAGAGGGATAAGAGACAAAAATGCCAATACTACTCTATAGTGAGTGTGGACATTTAAAATTGAGTTAAAATTCAGGTCATTTTTGGAGAAAAGGAGGGGGTGTCTGTGTGTGAAGGGGTTGGTGGGGTGGGTTGCAAACTACATTTGCATGAATATCTCTTTTAATGGTACTTGATGGGAGTTGGGGATGGGATCTGCGAGTGAGTAGTTCTACACCGCCTTCTCGAATGATTTCTGGTCCTCCTTGTCAGTATGTATGTGAGTCCCCTTTAATAGCAGCCCAGGTTGTCACTGTTGGCAATTGTTTTAGTATTGCTATGGTGATAAGTACAAGTTTTGGCTATTATTCTGTGAGTTTTATTTATGGGGGAAAAGTCATAAAATATGAGCGTCTGAGTCACAAATCAAGCCAGGTATTGCCAGCATACTGACATAATACATACCTTGCCTCCTAGTTCTCACTATTTTTCTTGGATCTTTAAATATCTTGTACAGCTAGCATATTGAATTTTCATAATTGCTACTGTGTCTCTTGCTTGTTTCCCAGAAACCTCTATAAGAGTTTACTGTTGTCACAAAGGGCAGACCCAAAGCTCTCTCTCTCTCTCTCTCTCTCACACACACACACACACACACACACACACAATGAATGAATGCTCAGTGGCAAACTCTGATGATAGTAAATATTTATTTAAAGCATTAAAGGGCATCAATATAAAAAAAGTGCCAGCACCTTTTGAGACAGCACCACCCCTGGAGGATTCCATATAATCAGTCCTTTGAGATGGTTCTGTTAGCTTTTGGATTCCAGAAACTCCTTAATTGTCACTTTTCTTAGTAAAATATGTCTGGTTTAAAAAAGAAATTTCAATATTGAAATGACAACGCTCATCCTAATTAACTGATTTTTTCCCTCTATATCTCTTTCCGGTTCCTCATGTACACATAAACATAAGTTTGGAAATTTTTCTCTATTCTATTCTAAAAATTAAAAAAAATTTTCTCTATTCTATTGAAGTGAGGGGCCTTACATATACAGTATATGGAATATTCAGATTTGAAAGTAGGGAGCTTGGTGAAAATGAGTGGAAAACGGACCAGGCAAAAAGAGAATAAATGCTAAATCCTTGTCCTAGAGTGTGAGGTCCCCGTCCGTAGAAGGGTCTACAGGAAAAGAGCCATTTCTGTTTGGTTTACAGCCTCGTGCCAGTGTGCTGGTTAATTTTATGTGTCAACCTGCCTGCGCTGTGCCATGCCCGGATGAAGTGTTATTTCTCTCTCTCTCTCTCTCTCTCTCTCTCTCTCTCTCTCTGTATCAGGGTGTTACTGGATGAGACTGGTGCTGGCATTGCTGGACTGAAGAAACAAGATTGCACTGAATCTGTTGAATACGTGACTAGAACAAAAAACCTAAGAAAGTGGAATTTGCCTCTTATTTCTTCCTGCCTGCCTGTTGAGCTGAGATATATTTCTTCTGTTCTTAGACTTGGATTCACAACATCAGCTCCCCTAATTCTCAAGCCTTTGGACTTGGCCAGCATTGTATCATTTTCTTGAGTCTTCAGTTTGCAGATGGTAGATCATGGGACTTCTCAGCTTCCGTAACCATGTGAGCCACTTCCTCACTGCCTGCCTGTCTGTCTTTGTCTGTCTATTATGTTTCTTTCTATCTATCTATCTACCTATCTACCTATCTATCTATCTATCTATCTCCTGTTTCTCTGGAAAACTGTAATGCAGACTGGTACCAAACAAAATTCTTGGTGCAAAATATAGATTTAATAACTGTATGGTGAAGAAATAAATGAGAGAATATTTTTTCATTGGGAGAGAGGGGCGGGGGGACCAAATCTCTTCAAGCAGAGTGGGAGTCCTTTTATCTTTTTACCAGGCCAGCACTGGGTTTGGTGTACAGTCGGCAGTCATTGAGTGTGGATGGTAAGGTGACTGAGAAGGGCTAAGGGACACATTGGGAAGTGGGGACACACCGGAGTGTGGGTTTATGTGTCAGTGCACAGGCTTTCTATAATTCCTCGAAAGTCAGGGCAATGTGGTGTATTACACGTGTCACATGAGAGGAAAGATACAGTACCTAAGGGCCCCCATGTTGTGATGATGTTTTATTGCTGACTGGCAAAGTGGCCACTGTTGAGGCACAGGTCCCCAAGGCCACTGGGGGCATTATGGGACAGAACATGCTACTGGCAATTGCACTGATTACCAATGCTGCTAACATTTCTCTCGCTTAATAATCCACTTTTAATTTTACCCATGGCAGTTCTTAGCTCCCACAACACAGCCATAATTAAATCTGTGTTCAGATGGTTGTAAATGCACCCAGAGGTCTTAAGCAATGGGTGAGTTATACTCATTTAAGTTAGACTGTAATGCTAGCATTCAGCTATCTCAGAAAAAATACTAATTACTGAAGTTCCTTCAAGTTCCACTAGATCCCTTTAGTTTCCACTTGTATTTTCCAGATAACACGCAAGACAAGATGCAGGTGGCAGGCTTTTTTCTCAGTATGTAATAGTCACTCTGCTGCACTGTCATCCTGAGGTGTGGGTATCCAGGGGACTTGTTTAAAACACGATCAGGGGTTGCGGCTGTGTTTACAGAGACTGTCCTTGTCTGACATTCCAGAGACCTGTTTTTTTAAGGAAATGACAAAAAGCGAGAAGAAGTGAAGCACAGGGAAGAGGCTAAGAAATTGTTCCCCACAGTTCCGTTCTTGGACTCCTTCAGTGGTAGAGGGTCACGGCGTTGGAAGAGGGGATTTTATTTCTCACATGGCCTCAGGGGTTCGAAGAAGCCTGATAGTGCCCAGAAAAAGATGAGGAGGAATGAACTTTTTTGTTGTTGTTTTATTTCCAGGGTTGGGATTCTGTCCCTCTTTTCAAGTACTCATTATTTTTCCATTATAATGAGGGAAATGGAGAAAATCTGTCTTTCTTGGCCTTGGAATTCCACAAATCTGGCTGCGTGCCCCGTGGTCTGAGGGGAGCGGTACTGCCTGTCACACTCCCTCATGTGGCCCGAGGGGGCTGGCAAGCACAGGTGCCGAACCACTCCTGCTGGGGCTGCCATTTCATCCCCTTGACTCTTGCTTGTGCTGTTCCCTCCCCCATTTTTGTAGGTCAGTTTCCAATGTCACAGGTCCTGGTCAGGATGACCTCCTCCAGGTAGGCTCCTAAAAACCCCTCTCCACTCCAACAGGGCGGGAGATTGTCTGGGTTTATGACTGTCGTCCAGTTATCTTGATCCTTCCTGAGTCTGCTGTGGACCTGAGCTGGATGGAAGCTTCCCTCCTCACCCTCCTCTTCCAATGGTTCCTTGGTTGAGGTCTTGCCTAATGTAACCTAGGGGTCAGAGTTCATTTTATACTGTGCACTAGAGGGAAGAAAATGAAAAATGTTTTCCCAGGTGACCAAGTCAGGGAGGAGGTGGTCATGAGAGCCACCATCAGAGAGGGTGATGGTGACTTAGTAGGACCAACTTCAAGTCAGAGTGACAGGGCCTGGCAGTGCAGGCACAGAGGGAGGGAAGGCATAGCCAGCTGGGTCTGTTGAATATTCTCAGCCAGTACCCATAGGTGGCACTAGAGATTTGGAGATCTGGCTGCCCGGCATGCTTCAGGGTTGACAGCCAGGAGAGAAGGCAGGAGGGAGGGATGAGTCACTATCTTGTGACTGAGCAAAGTCACAAAACCAGAGATGAGACCATGTTGGTGATTCTAGACAGGAGAGGCTGCCATCCATCAGCAGCCTTTTCTGATGGTAAAAGCAAAGGGTGAGATGAAGAATGCATAGTTGGGGCCGGGGATTTAGCTCAGCGGTGCTGTGCCTGCCTTGCAAGTGCAAGGTCCGGAGTTCGAACCCCGGTACAAAAATAAAAAGTATGCCTAGTTGGTGGGAGATAGAGAAGAGTGAGGGAGCAAAGGAAGGAGAGAAGAGGAAGAGCAGGTGGGAAGAGGAGGATGAGGAGGGTAGAGATAGCAGGGCTACAATGGGAGCGCGGGGATAGGGTGAACTGAGGACGTAGATAGAGGTGTGGGGCCATTAGGAATGAGAAGAGCTTACTCAGAAGGGTGAGCTAAGAAGAGCCATGTGGCAGAAGGGGGCTGGTAACCACAGCGGAGAGGAGGTCCAGACAAAGGCAGGCCAGTCCTGAAGGCCGTGCCTCCATATTCCCCGTAGGACTCAGAGACACACACCATTCCTTCAGGATCTTTTATTAACGTATAGAAAATGTGTTTAAAAAAGGAACTATACAGAGGCTAAAAGCAACCAGGACTAAAAATACTAGTTAACAATGGTTAACAAGCAGAGATTCTAGTCTTTGAGCTACAGTGCCATGAAAGGGTGGGGCGGGTTGGTTTTCCCTCTCCCTTGCTCTGTGTGGTTTTATTTTAGGTCATTAAAGTGTGCATCACCTGAGGAGTTTGTACCCTTTTCTTCTTCTTTTTCCTTCCTTCCAGACTTTGTTTAAGGGAAGTGCTTTTTCAAATACATTGTAGCTACAAAGTCAGTCTTTGTTATTTTTTTTTTACCTGAAAAGGTTGTTAAAGGTTAAAACGACAAACTTAAATTCAGAGGGATTGGAGGATTTGGTGTTATGAGTTCTCAGAACAACAATTTAGATTCCACCAGGGTGAGTTTTCAGCTGCCTGGGCTTAAAGTCACACGACATGTGTATGGTACCTGGGAATTCCTGTGGGCCTGGAGGGGACTGAGGTTGGAATAGCTGGAAGTGTGTAATGATAGGAGGAGCCTACGGGTTAAGAACAGACTCAGATAGATTCTGACTCTTAGTTTGTGAGACCCTCATCTGGCTCTAGGCCTCAGAGGGGACAGGTGGGAAGGGGTCAGTACAGGAGTGTTTAGTTGAGTGACATTTTTGCCGGAACCATGGTGTCTGCTGCCTCTAACATATGGTTGTCACCACTGTCCAAGCAAGGGAGAAGGAAACCCCACCCTGGAAGGGGACCACAAAGGCAGTTTTCTCTCTCTGGGGAAGATCCATTCTTCTTTATATAAGCATTGTTTAACAACAACAACAAAGGCTCATTTCTGGAATTGTGGCCTGGCATTGAAACCACCAAGTTACTAAGTACGGATTTCTTTCTACATCCCCCAAAGTGGCAAAGAGACCTGAGATTGTGGCCAGTTCTTCTCTGAGGCCCCCTCACCCCACCCGGTCCACTGGGAATGTGAAGCAGGTTATGAAAAGGGAAAAGAAACCGGGGATAAATAAAAGTCATTTCTTTCCTGTCTTCTAGCTTCATTTCTCAAAAAAAAAAAAAAAAAATCACAGATATGCCTGTGTAAGGTACCTTGATGGTGTTTGTATCTCTGGGAGTCTGGGAGGGGCTGGTCCAGATCTGTCTGCAACCTGATGATTTTTACCTAAAAATTCATGAGTTTCCTGCATTAGCTAAACGTGGGTACTGATTTGAATACATTCATAATATAATATTTTCTTCCCAAATTCTAGGGTATATCAATGCTCCAGGTGCTTGTGCCGGGTTTATTCTGAGGTTTCTCCCTCCTAGTCCCACCTATGCTGCCAGCTCCAGCTTGAGCAGCATGACTCACATTGGAAGAGAAAGAGGTTCCTACATTCCCAAAAGAATGAGGTGGGAGAAATTGTGTTTGTGCCCTGGTCTTCATCTTCTCCAAGCCTGTGGAGGACCTCTCTTCTACCTCCCAAATTAAAAGAAAGAAAAAGAAAGAGCTGCCTGGATGTTTCTTACTCCTTCCAAAAGTGAGGCTGAGAGTCCCCAAAGTATGTGACCAAAACAATGCAAGATTTCCCCTTTCTTAAAGAGAGAGAGAGAGAGAGACAGACAGACAGTGGTATCAGAGGCCTTTTTGTGGGAATTTTAGTAAAATCCAAGATGTGCCTGCATGGCTTACTAAATATAAATAGAGGCAGCTTCATGAGAAGAAAAATCAAAGGATTTTGAATTAGCTGAAGAGATTCTATGGTTCTCTTAAGTAGCTGTGTGTTGCCAGGGTTTTAGTTCGGTGGTGCTGCCGTCTGCCTTGCAAGCCCAAGGTCCTGAGTTTGATCCCCAGTAACAACAAAAACAACAACAACAACAACAACAACAACAACAACAGATACTGAACGTTAAGCAGCTGTGTGCCTTTGGGGGATGGAACCGAAACTCTCTGTGCCTGCCTTCTCTTTTCTGTCAAATCTGAGTCAGGGTTGTGGTAAAGATTTAATAAAATGTGTTAAGCCCTTAGCATAGTATCTGGTCAATAGTAGGTACACTATTGTACTCTTTTTCTCAATCTTTCTCTTGAAGAAAGACAAATTAAAAAGCTTATATCAGACCTGACTTTCCCCCATTATTAATTGGCTGTGTGAACATGGGCCAGCTGTCTGTCCTATCTTGGCCTCAGTTTACCTGAGTATGAAGTCAGAGAATTCTGTTAGGTGATCTCTAGTATTCCCTCTGGCTTAAAGGTGTGTTCTCAATGTTTGCCCGGGGGCAGGGTTGAGCATATTAGTGTTCAGTGACAGGATGTTAAAAAGCAACATAGAGTTTCCCTGGGGACTGCTAAACCAGCTAGAGGAAGCACAGGATTCTCATGGGGCATTAATTCACCGGCTGGCCTTGCACCTGGCTGTTACTTAGGTGTCTTGGGCCTCTGAGAAAGAGACTTGCACCTTCTCACCTTTGCCCATGGTGCCAATGCCCAAGAGAGCTAATGTAGGCAGAAAGGGTTAAGTGTTTCTGAACTGAGAATTTAGCATTACCCCAACTCACAGCCCAGGAATAGGGGCTGTTTCATTAAGTTAATAGAAGGATCCCAGTTCGTCTGAGGAACAAGAGCCATGTTATTTGGATGCTCTGCAATAGCCTTATTAAGCTTGGGGAGGGAGGGAGGATTTCCTCTTTGGAGAAAATGCAACACTGTCCAAAGATCTTGAGCTTTGCCAAGGACATTTGGACAATGATGTGCTGCAGGTGCAATGAAGTCATGTTTCAGGCCAGGAGTGACCTTGAAAAATAAATCAGAAATGCTGGAGATGACAAATCAGGCTGTGATTGCTGGTGATGAAAAAGAGTGGTCCGGGCAGGATGAGTTGAACAAAGTCCCTCGGCTTCTTGTTTGGTGCAGTAGGGCTGCTCTGGTGCCTTCATTTTTCCTCAGAGAAGTGGACAAATGGATAGGAGATCTGGTTGAGGCCAGAGGCCAGCACACAAGAAGCCAATCTGGTACATTTATTATGGCCACTCACACCTGCTCTCCGCTTTTTTTTACTGTGGGGATGTTTGTAGAAGGCTTCCTTTTAATCTGTGATGATCCATCAGCTTCTTCTTTTGTTTAATTTTTAATTTTATTCTTCTTCCTAGCTGTTTTTCAAAGCCGAAGAATACAGAACTAGCTTAAGCAAATCCAGGGTGGATACAGTTAGCGTGAACTAGAGTCATTTTTTCCAACTGGACCTGAATCCACATCAACAAATTAAAATAAATACTAGAGTTTTTTTCCCTACTTACTTTTGGAAGTTTTTGTTTCATCTGCAAGCTCTCATTTGGCCTGGTAGTGTCAAAATACTCCAGTATTACTGAGGACAACTTTACACATATGTAAGGGGTTGGGTTAAGGAAGGGGCAAAGGTTTGGGGAAAGCAGTTAACCAGAGATCTATAGGAATGTGAGCAAAGGGCCCTGCAGTATACAGCTAGAGAAAGGCTATACACACCCTCAGAAGCCAGCCCTATGACTTACACTACCCCAGAGGATAGAACTTCTTTGTCATCATCACCTGCATAGAAAGGGAACAGCCAGGAAGATTAGGCAGGGTTGAGATGCAGCTCTGCTGAATCTGGATGAAAAGCAGATCAACAACTCACAGATCCACCCCAGGCTTCAGAGGTCACCATAGGCCCTTCTTGAGGCCTTAGCAAATTTGAGGCAAATGTGAAAACAGATGATCCCACATCTTGTGGGATTACTGAAATTGAACTGAGCTTCAATCTTTCAAAGTTGCCTTATCAACGTTTTAGGAGCAGACAGTGAGATGCAAATAGGGTTGGAAAGTGATCCCCTCCTGCCTTTTCCTCTGCTTTGGAGGGAAAGAAATGGAACTAGGGAATTACATTGAACAGGTAGGAGTTTGGTGATGGGAAAGCAAGGAACAAAACACCACACAGCCTGTGTAAGTGGTCTCACATTTCCTGAAATTCTGGGTGGAGGGAGGAAGGGAGGGAAAGAGGGAGAAGGTGAGGGGAAGGAGGAGAAAGAAGCAAGTCCATGCAGGAGCATTTGCAAACAAATCCCAGTCACTGGCCATCTCTTTTCAAGCCCCTAAGCTTGGTGTGTCCACTGTTCCCGCAGGTTCCCTTTTTATTTCTCCAGAGAAGAGGACTGAGAGGAACGCATAAACCCGTTCTCAATGGATGCTTTCAAAAGAGATCTTTAAAAAGATTCTTTAATGACCTTTTGTCCCTTAATTTATAGCTCTGCTCTTGGACTAGATAGTAAAAGTTAAAAACTGTGTTTAGGACTGTTTGGTTTGGCATGGGACTCATTGGCAACCTTGGTTCTTTGAGCTTGAGTTTGAAATAGCAGTTTGTAGCGCACAGGAAGCTGGTTGGTCCCCATGGAGAAGGAACAGGGTGTCAGGTGTTCATTAATTTATGAATAGTGGAGTTGGGTTGGTGGTAGGCAAGGGGTGGGGTTGATTTAAATATTCATGGAAATTCGCTCTTCATCTCTTTGCTGCCAGTCTGTTTTCATCTCCCATACAGATCAGTCCGGATTCTTGGTTTGGAACGCGGTCTCCTGGAAACCAGGAGAGCCCAGCTGTTCTCAAAGTGTTTCCCCTGGGTCTCTGGAGGTGTTTTGCGCGCCACCTTGTGGTCGCTTCTAGTAAGTCCCCTCTCCATTTGTTATAATGGCCAGCACTTACTGTCATTCCTGCTACTGCATCTTTACATCTGACTCCTTCCCTTCCGGAAGTGACCCTGGAAAATATGACAATCCTTATATGATAGGAAACATAAAAAGGAAGAACTACTTGGGTCTGGCAATGAGTCTACTGCAGTCACTGGTAGTTGGTTTTGATCTTTTTGCTACTGTTGTTTTTTTGGTGTAGGTATATATTCTAATATGTCTTCGTTAGACTGCCTTTACGGCAGGGTCCGTTGGTTTTCCTTCTGAGTCCCTTATGAGATCCTTTGGTGTCCTTGCACTTCTCTGACATCCTCCCTTGGGAAAAGCACAGGTGCTTGGAGGGACAGGATAAGCAAGCATCAGCTAAGAAGTCAGAAGCAGCTTCTTAGTCAAGAAGCTCAGTGAAGAAGTTAGGTGAGTCAAGTTAAGAAGCTTTGAGTCAAGTTGACTTCGGGAATGGGAAGACAGTAGAACAGTCTCCTAAAAATGGTTAAGGATAAAAAAACTAACAGCCACAAGAACAACAAAAAATGCCTCAGGAGAAAAGTACTTTACTTAACAAAAGGAATCTATAAATCTTTTTATAGAGTGTTGGGTGAGTTGATCTTTGAAGTTCCTTTCTTGCTTTAAAATTCTCTAAAATGCATCTAGGCAATGTGGCAGATACTCTTTATAAATATGTTCCGTAGGGTAAAATGGTTCCAGTGAAAGGCAGGCTTTGGTTTCCCCTGATGTCTCTTGACTTTCAGCCGAACTGATGACATACGATCACGTTCCATTTCAGTTCTTCTGATGAGGTGGGCTGTCCTAGCTCACTCAGGTCCCTGGTACTGCTTTTATAGACACGGTTTAGCCTCTTCCTTGGCATTCTCTTTTCTGGTGTGTATGTGTGTGTGAGCATGTGTGTGTGTTTTACTTCTGATTCTGAATCAATTTCTCTTTCCCTTCCTTCCTTCCTTCCTTTCTTCCTTCCTTCTCTCCTTCTATCTTTCCACACCATGACCAAATTGAGTTCTCTCATGAATATACTCAGATTTTCAGATCATAAACTAGCATTATTGATGTTAAAATAAAGGGAAATTAGAAATTATTCTATTCTAATCTCTCGTCCAACAGGCGAGGATACTGAGGCCAAGCGAGGTGAACAAGCTACCCAAAGTCATAAAGCTGCATAAGGGCAGAGGTGAGCCTTTTGCCTCACCCCAAAGTTCCTCCTCATTCAGTATGCTTCCTTCTCTTCATGCTTGTCCTACTGTCTAGCTCAGTCTTATTTAATGTACAGGTTTCTCTTTCTTCCTCTTTCTTCTAGTTTTCTAAAGCCTACTGTGAATTGAAAAATCAAAGCACCACCTACTTTTTTTGATCCCAGGTATGTGGTAGATGAGGTCTTGCTGGAAACCCATAAAGAGGAGGTGCCTGTAGAACATGGCAGGCTGACCGCATCCTCACATCCCCAGAAGTGCAACTCTCAGTCTAAGGAATTATGTATCCCTTCCTGATGATTAAAGAATTTTAGAGGGTGGATGTTTCTGTTACAAAATTACCAACTCTCAGGCTTATCTAGTCACTGGTTGGCAAGGCACGGATGCCCCAGTTTGGCTAACATGGTCCCTGCAGGAAATGGAATAGGGCCCCCGGGGAATAGGAGGAGAAAGGGAGAAGGCAGCTGTGGGCCCTGGGCATGAATTTGGATAGTTGCTGCAGGATGGTGGTAGCTGGCATTTGATTTGGAGGAGAAGTTGAAAGGTCACGGCTTTCAGAACCCTGGGCTTAAAAATCAAATTATGCTGGCGGAGACAGCATATCTCACAACATGGCGGACATGCCCACAGTCTTCCCCTTTGTACCTTTGGGTTTCTAGATGTAATTTCCTGTGGCACTTTTCATTTTTCCTTTCAAAAGCAAAATAATAAAAGAAGATGGAGAAAGGCTTCTCATGATCTCACCTCATTAAGGGGTCATTTCTGTTTCTCACAGGAACAATTTGTTTTAAAAAGCCCCCAAAGTAAATATTCCATCTCTTTCCAGGATTATTAATAGGAGGATGGCTGTCTGGTCATACAACTTCTTCTTCTGCTTTTTATTAAGCCACCTACACCAAGGAGAGCCTGGCTGATGACAGAAATAAGGCCTTCAGTTTGCAAATTCAGGAAAATAATCCACAATAAAGTAGAACAGAAATGGTAAAAATGGAAGTAGGCAAGATCTACGTTTTCCATGGGACTTATAATCGCTAGGGCAGGTGCCCTTATTTCTGCTTTCTCTGTCTTTTCCACAGAGCTTGACCCAAAAGTGCTACAGACAAAAGCCATCTCCCCCCGCCCTGCCCCAACCCCTGAAGAAAGTTCCTGTGTGGCCAACCTGAGGGAGAAGTGGCTTCAGACCCACAAAGACGCAGCCACTGTACAACCCAGCGCCAATAGTGAGCAATATCCTAGGAACTAGATTTCAAAACAGTGGTTGGGGTGATAAGATTGTAGGCTCTAAAGTAGAATGAAATTAGGCGAAGGACTGAGCATAGCTAGAAAAGAGGCCACACTGCTCTGGAAAAGTAAGAGTGTCAGAATGAGAACTTTGGCCCATTCCAAAGGACTTGGCTGTTGGGTCAGGGTGTGGTTGGTCTCTTCCCTCTTAGGGGCGCTGCTGGGCAGGCTGTCTTGCTCAGACTTCTTCTCTGGGCTGCTGTGACTACCTGATCATCAAAGGCTATGACCAGATTACCAGTACGTCGAAGGCGGAGGCATCTGAAGAACATAGAAAAAGAGGTGCACACCTATCACCCTAACAATTGTACTCCATGATTTGTCTTTGAATTGGTCATTTAAGTGAACGTCCCACTTTTCCTCCTTGGCGGGAAAGGAGGGGAATGTTAGGGATGACAGGTTAGGAGGGAGAGGGCAGCCGTGGGGCCAGGCTCCAAGCAGCAGAAACTATGCTAGACAGTAGTCAGCTGACCCCTGCCTCAGCCCTGCTTCCTCAGATATCGTTACTATGTTGCAAAGCACATTATTATCACCCTCCCCCCTTGTATCATATTATAAAATACAAACAAATGACAGAAAAGATCGTTTGGCTTGCGACTGCCCACTGCTCAGAACTGCAAGGCCCGCCGTTTCCTCCCGGCTGAGAGACGGTGGTTGTAGGGCCGCATCTTCATTTCCACAAAGGGTATGGAGAACTCGTGGCCTTTCCAGTGGTACCAGTTGATGCCCTGGGCGTGAGACAGAAAAACATATCAGCACACTCTTCCCTCTCCTTGGGAGGCCCTACTTGAAAGGAAGGGAAATGATGGCAATCAGCAACCAAGAGGTGGGTTTAGCTATTTCAGTTAGCGAGTAGCTTTATGGCTGAGTTCCCACTGAAGTGAAAGGAGCAGAGTCTCGGTCCAGCTTTCCCCCCAAACATGCCTGTGGCCTGGATCTTTGTTGCAGGGCACTCCTACTGCCAGTTGTGTGTTTCTGGCTTTTAGAAAGTGTGCATAGGGCCGGGGATTTAGCTCAGTGGTTTCGCCCCCTGCTGCGCAAGCGCAAGGACCCGAGTTCAATCCCTGGTACCAAAAAAAAAAAAGTGTGCATACACCAGTCAATGGTGGTGAATTTCAAAATCCCAATAATGTGGAAGCATTTTGAAGAGACTGATTTTTGCTCACTCCTGATAGGAGACTCAGGTGGTCTCCACCTGGAATGACCGACCATCTGGGTTTGTCTGGAATTGTGGCGTTTCCTTGGATGTGACCTTCCAGTGTCAACACTGAGAAAGTTTCAGTTGGTCCAGCTGTCTCCTTATTATCCAGTCCAGGCTATGGACTTGCAGTCTGGGGAAAGAGTCCAGTTCATGGGCATTTCTGATCTCTCCCTGCCTGGGCCCTTTAGGATGAAGTTGAGCCTTTGAAACTGTTTCTAGAATTGATAAGCTCCTCCCACAATGAAATGAAATGGAAGCTGACTGGTCATCAAGGGCCAGTCCGAGTGAGTTCTAGCTCCATATGCCTCCCAGAGGAAGGAAAGGAGCACCTGGACCTTCCTCTGGCTTCTACTCCATGCTGTCCCTATCCCAGTGTCTGTTACACTTTTCTCCTTATAATAATAAAGAGAAATCTAAATGTTTCATTTAGAAAGAAGAACGTAGGACTCACGTGTGCATTAAGATCAGGCTGGGGCCATGGGTGCTGAGCTCTGAACCACCCCCAGTGGAGCAGATGATCACCTACCTGGCTGTGCCTGGATTCCCCGTACTTCCCATTCAGGTTGGTCCGGTGGCAGTTCTTATACCACCAGGCGCCCTTGTATGACATGGCACAGTTAGTAACAGCAACATCATTGTCTCTGTCCTCTGTGGAGAAAGGGCGTCCCTGGTGGTAGCTGAGGGAGTCTCCTGCAAAATAGAACATGCATGAGGCTGTACTATTTGTCCCTCTTACCAGGATTTTCTGGACATTTGATCTACTCCCAGGAAACCTGGCCTCCATGCCCGGACTGTCACCCACTCTCCTGTTCCCACTTAATCCCTTGGTTGGCCACACTGAGCTCTTTCTCTATTTTATCCCTGCTGTCACTACCTCTACACTGCTCTCTCCAACCAAATCCTCATCCCTTAACTTGTTGCTGAGAATTATGTCCACACAGTCCCATGTCAACACCCTGCCTTTTCCCTCCAGGCCCGGATGGGGACACAGAACATCCATGGTTCCATTTGCTGCAGGGGAGATAGTGCTGAGCCATGCTGACTTGGACCATTCTCCACCTCCCTGGAGTAAGTTCAGCCTGGCTTTCACCTAGTGCTGGTCAGACCACACCCCAAATCCCACATTCAGAACTTGGTGCTGCCTGTGAAGAGAGATATTATTAAACTAGAGTCCCATTCGAAAGAAAATAGGATAAAAAAAATGTAACTGTGTCCAAGGAGAATTGGGTTGGAAATGGGCTGCATCTTGGGGAAGGCAAGGGTCCATGGATACTACCATCAAATATCTCAGGGACTATTAAAAAAGCATTAATGGAGAAGTGTGACAATCAGTATTTAGCGACTGTTAAGATAAATATTTTGGATAAATATGAGGGCAAAAATCACCTAAATATTAGAGCTGCTCTCAAGTGGTATAGATTGCTGAGAACTCTGGTGAGATTTCTATTCTCAGAGGCAAACAGGCTGGGTGCTCTCTCTCCTGGGAATGTTGTGCAGGAAGCTTGTATAAATGGGGTATTTAAGGTAAAGGGTTAGGCCATCATTCCTTCATAAGGACTGATGAAACTTACGGCAGGATTTTTGGCTAGGGACGTTGTGAAAAGGCTCATACTATTTATTAAATTAAAGTGATCTTAGATGTGTCTGAGGTTATTTTATGCTAGCAGAGATGTAGTTCTGGTTAGATGGCTTTGGAGTTGCAATCACAGTGGCCACTCAATTCCTCCAACGCATGGACCACAGCTCATCCTTTGGCTGGTCAGTCATCATTTCGTAGGGAACCCCTCGGCTGGTTGCTAAGGCAACATATCATTATATATATTCCATTCTCTTCATCTTCTCTTTTCAGTCTCCCAGGATTCAGACTTTGTATCCATCTAGAGCTAATCCCACCACCTGCAACTTGTTCTCCATCTTTTCCCCATCCTGAAAAAGCAAGAAAAGATTTCTTACCCTTCCCCTATTTTTTAAAAAAACATTTTCACTTCCTCCTACTGTAAGTCATACTTGTATCCCTTATTTTAAAAATGCCTGGGTTAATCCTGCTCTCCAGTAGTGGTTTCTTTAAGCACCCATTCCTTGAGCATGTTGTCTCTATGCTGACATTCCCATCTTCTCCTCCCTGTGCTGTCCTGAAACGAGTCCCTCCAGTTTCCACTTGAATATTGCCTGCCGCTGTCTTCATGTCCTCCTCAAATCTGGCCCCTTCCCAGTGGCTGCCTCATCTATTCTGCACAGTAACAGAGCCCTTGTTTCTCCCTGTTGAACCACAATTCAGATTTACCTCCTTAATCCCCACAGGAGTCCAGGCTCCTGTTGTCTCCTATCAGGATCAGTGTAGCAGCCAACAGCTAGTCTTTCTGTTCTTCTCTCAGATTTACTTCATCCTATTTAGGGCTGCCCAGGGTTCTCCCTCAAACCCCACCTCCACTGTGACCCTCAGGACTTACAAGGGCACCCCCTGCCTCTTCCCTCAGGTTGATGGCTTGTCAGGATTGGCTCCCCCTCCCCCACCAATTTCTTTCTTCCGTACTGAGCTTCTACTGTGCCTGGGACAGCCATGCCTGTCACAACCTCCTCCCTTCAGAGAGCTGCTCCTTCTGCAGCTTCTCATCCAGGGGTGCTTTCCTCACCATTTGGATCCCAGTCAAATGCAGCTGCTGTGACGGAACTTTCCTCAACTGCCAGACCCCCTTCTCTGAGCACTCCTTAGACAGAAAGTGAGTACCATTTCTTGTGCAGTGAGCTACTTCCTAATTGTTTCTCTTAAAACTACTGGTTTAGTTCTTTAAAGGGCATGTTTTATGTTTCTTTTGAGTTTCTACAACGTGTACAATGAACCTTGGGGTCTTGCTGAACAACCTCTTACTGATTTGGAATGTTGAGTTCTAACTCAAGTTCAGTCCTACTTAGAGACTAGGGTGTTAGCCTTGAGAAAGAGGAGTAGAAGAAGGAGCTGAACTTTGGATTGGAGGCCCTGGGATAGTGTTTTGCTAATGGGCCCAGTAGGATTGAGCAACAGCTAAAGATAAAGGCCAGGGAATCGGGTAACATTAAAAATGGCAGACAGAGAAGGGTGGGGCCGTTCCTCGCTGGAAATCTGCTTCTCTAGAAAGAACCGCCATTGTATGGAGTTGCCCAGAGATGCATGCAGACTAAATAGGCTGACATTTTCATCTCCTGACGATGAGCTAATATTCAAGATGAAGAAAAATCATAATTAACTTTTATTGAGCAGCCATGATCTTAGAGTTTGCTTCTGACACATAGGAGTAAATTCGGCTCAACACTTCTGCCCTGTGTGGGGACTTTCAGGGAGACAGGGATGGGCCCTGGTAGCAGGGGCCAGGCCTAAGTTAGATAAAACATGGGCTTGGGGTGGGAGGAAGAGGAGGGAGGAGGGAAGAAATGCAGGAAAGTGGAGGGCATGCTTCCTTTCCTGTAGGAGAAATAAGAATGGCTTTTCTTTGGGCGCTGTTCTAATCCTGGAGAATGAATAGCATCCGGTTATTTTTGAAATTTAGTCTGACATCTTGTCAGAAATATGTCCATTTCAATAGCTATTTTATGCTCAAAATGTGACAAATTGGACCTTTTGTTGGGACTCTTTAGGCTCATCAGATTGCCACTGCTAATCATCTCCACTATGAACAATAACAAAAGAAAGTGTGTCTTTGGAGTAACAATACTGGGCTGAGAAGAGAAATAATTGAGCAGATGCAGTGATTGGAAGGGCAACACCTCAAATGTTCTTCTTAATTCTAAGAGGTATAAAAATGTTGCTAAATTTAAACACTAGCCCTTAGTCCTAAAATTGGAGTTAATGAAAAGGCCAATAACTCCATGTACCAATTTTAGTGTATGTGCTGCCAAAGCGAGCACGAATAACTCCATGTACCAAACAGTAGAATATTTGGCACAACAGAAAAGTGTCACAGCAGAACACATGAGACAGATGAGCAAAGCCTAAGAAGCAGACTGGACATTGTGTGTTGACAGAATTAAATGCCGCAGAGCTTGTAGAGATGGCTGCTCTGCTTGGTGGAGATGCCATAAAGTCTACACAGAAAATCTGACCAGGCACATGATCCTCTGGGAGTCATGAGAAGTACAACAAGGGGTATTTAAGTGATGTCCTTCACTCTTCGATGGGGTGTTATTGTGACTGATGATGGAGAGGTGTGGAGGGGGCCTCCCAGAGAGCGAGGGATCTGTATTATTTCCCCCAGTTCAAAGATGGCTTCCTAGATGCCATTGCAGGGAGACTTTTCCCCAGGCGAGGGATGGTTCTGCCCCTCTGGATAAGAGAACATTGATTCCTCTAGAAAAGAAAAACAATCTTTTGTTCTCACTCATGGCACTTTCTTTTTTAACTTTAAAGGCACTTTCATGGCATTTATTGAATTTTTTCTGACTATTGTGCGAAGTGAGACAGACATCATTGTTACAGTTTTCCAGATGAGGAAACTGAAGTCCTGAGAAAGTGACTTGGGGTGGCCTAAGTGGCTAGCCAAGGGTTCAGGAGCCCTGGGCTCTGCTGCTTCCTGCTGCAGCAGGTGCCTGACGCCCAGGGCCCTCGGTCTGCTGCATGCCGCTGCTCTTGGGGTGTGCTCAGGGCCCAGGTACCCGCAGTGCCATTGTAGCTTCCTATGCGGAGTTTGTACAGGCTTCTGCTGTCTTCCACAGAGAACTTGTCGTAGTGGGCGAAGGCGGCCTCCTGCCCGTCCCGCATGTCCACGCGTAGCTCGTAGCGGCCCCGGGCTGTGATCCTGTGGATGTTGTCCAGCCCTGTGGGGAAGAGCAGAGGCTGTGCTGAGCCTGGCCCCAGCAGCTTGGGAGATGGGAGGGAAAACTGGCTGTGTCCTCCGAACAAGTGCTGTGGGAAGAGGAGTGCTTCTGCCCTGCCCCTTCTCAGGTGACTGTCAAACAGCCCCTGCACTTCCTGCTGCAAAGAGGCTTCCAGATCTGTTGGTGGGTGCCACTGCAGACAGCTTGGGTCCCTGTGTCTAGCCTTGACCTAGCAACTGACAAGCCCTGAGACTGAGGATAACTGGCTCCGGCCCCTTCTATGCCAAATCATGCTGTGGACAGAAAATGACAACTGGCATTGTGGGTGTGTCTTTGGTGTGAGTGAGAGAAAGCAAGATATAGAGTCACTGGAGGAGTTCAGAGCACCCTGGATACTTGGACCTCCTAACATTTCCTAGGAGTCTGCAAAGGAGGTTTTATGTCTTTTATCCCACTGTCTGTCCTTCCTGTCCTCCTCCAGGCCTCCTGGGGCTCCCAGAGCCAAGTCAGAGAATACAGATAGTCCTGGGTTTATAGTGATTCAGCTTACAATTTTTTGACTACACAGTGGTGTGAAAGCCAGTCACATTTAGTAAAAACTGCACTTGGAGCTTTGAATTTTAATCTTCCCCTGGGTAGTGATTTGCTGTGTGATGCTCTCTCCTGATGCTGAGCAGTGGAGTGTGCTGCTAAGCTGGGAGGCTCAGTAGATTAGGTGTATTAAATACATTTTCAACTTAGAAAGATTTTCAACTCAGGATGGGTTTATCAGGTTGTAGCCCCTATCATAAGTTGAGGGGCACCTGTATTATTCTGTGCTTCCTGGTTACAGTTCTTTTCCCTCTCAACTGCCTGCCACACCTTGCACTGCTGTGTCTTTTCTGGTCTTCTAGCCAGTGACCTTGCACTCACATGCCCTCTCTTTGGCCTCTAAGCATTCCAGGTTTGGGCTAATTGATTCTTTTAAGGTGTAAACCCTTGCAGGTCTGGAGTTTGGGTAGAGCCCAGATGCCCCTCGGTGATATTTTCCCATATGTTTTATTGCCCCTTTGCTCTGACAATCTCTGATTTTTGACCTATCTGCCCAAACTTTGGACCACTCACCTTGCGTAGTGATCTCTGAACCTTCTTGATTTCTATCTACATACTGAACTGAGGACCCTCTTGTTGTGCGGTGACATCTGATATCTCTTCTAGTGCGTCTGATTTAGAATCAGAGAATCGCACTGGTGGAGGGGAGATGAGAGTCACTTAACCCTTTCTTTCCTCCACGCCTTGGGTAGACCTTGGTCAATGACTGCTGAGGGGGTTCAAAAGTCTGACCTTCTTCCAGCAGTGCGGATTGACTTTCAGGAGCTTTCCATGGGATTAGTGTGAAGTAAGTCTCCACCCAAGGCCTTTTAAAAATAGTTTTTCTGGCTCTATCCTACTTTTATTCTCCTTCTTGTAGACCCCCCCCCCCCCCGCCGCCCACCAATAACTCACTTGGTCAAGAACTTTTCCCATTAAATAACTGAACAAGAATCCCTATCTCAGGCTCTGTTTCTAAGGAATACAATTTAGGACACAACCCCTGGGTGATAGTATTATCTCCATTCCTAGTATTGCTGCCAAACTACATATTCCTGGGCCTCACCTCTATTCAGGAGTCCTCAATAGCTCTCTGTTACACCATCAAGACCTCTCTTTCTGATCTTCAAGTTCCACAATGTGCCTTCGTTCAATACACCTCATCATCTCATTGTCCCCCTGCCTTGCACTTTTCCCGTGGCTGGATGGGTTTCCTGCCTGATCCTAGTTTGCATGTGTCCAAAGCATTGCTGCCTTTCCTCCTCCATTCTTCTGACTCATCACTCAGTGCCTGTACCATGAATTTGCTCTGTTTTTCCCCTGAATCTCTGTGGACTTTTTAATGGTATCTCACCGGTTAGCACAGTATTTCCCAGTGTTGGGGGAGTCTCAGATGACATGAGAAATGTGCAGGAATGGGCACTAAATGACCTTAAACACATAGGGAGAAAGATATTTCCAAATTTTATCTCAGTCTTTCTTAGTAGACAGAGAACCACCCCCTCCCTGCCCTAACCCCAACACACAGTCTCTGTTCAGTTCAAGTATTTTTGGTTTGTTTGACACACAGACTTTCTGATCTCCATTTTTAACACCACCATCAGCAGCAATGGCAATTGGCTGCATTTAAATGTCATTTAATAGCATTAATGTTGTCTCCTTTTTATTGTATTTATTGTTGAGGCCTCCTTTTTATGGCGTGTGATAACCAGCACTCCATTTTTGGTAACGCTATAAAATTTTCTTAAAAATAGATTTAATTAGATAAAAAAGTGATATATAGGAAATTTAAGTGCTTGAGAGTTTATATATTTCACAAATATGACAAAAACTGTGAAACTGGTACACAGTGACTTAGGTTTAGGACAGAAGTTCTCATCTGCTAAGATACATTGATTCATGTGCACGTCACCTGCCTTTCATGGTGTTTGCAAATGCTTTAAAGGTAAATATATTTTCCTATTTGTTTGACTCCTCTCTCAATGTGCTTATATGGGTTTTACCTTTTATTTTTATTGCCTACACTGGCAAACACAGATTTGGTTTATAATAGGTACTCAATAACTTCTTATCATTGCTTGATTGATATCTACACCAACCATCCTCCAGGCAGTGATGATAAAAGAGAAATACAATGTGGTCCCAGCCCTGAAAGAAGCTTATATAATCAAGAGAGACAGCAAGTAGCATGGGGACTATGATTTGAACCACAAAAGAGAATGTGGCAATCCTCCCACGGGCAACAGGTGAGAGAGATGGTTAGGACAGAGGTAGAAGGTAGGAGGGTTTAAGCTAGCCTCTGGACATGTGCAGCTGGATACCTTGGTGTGTAGGGGTGGGGGCTGGCCGAGAGAGTGTTCCTTCCTTACAGGAAGCTCAGCGGTCCTGTGGGTTTGGAACTGGGTGTTGGGGAGGATAGGAGGAGGACCAGGTGAGGTGCTTAGGTCTAGACGGAGAGGAGAAAGGCATTGTGTCTTGGTCAAGGTGTTTGGCCTTCATGGTGCTAATGACAAGTCATTGAAGAGCTTTACAGAGGTGATTCGCCCTTGCTTAAATCTGCAGTGTGAGGAAGGTCACGGTAGTGGCTGTGTGGACCATGGGACGGTGGGAGGCTGGGAGGCCAGTAAGGGTTTGTTAGCTGGGTGTCTGGGGGGAGACGCAGAGGCTTAGACAAGGTGAGGGCAGTGGGTAGAAAGGAGACCGCAATACACAACATGGTGATTTGTCCCTTCCTCTGCCCCCTTCATCAACTGCTATGAAAATCTAAGCAAGCAGGAGACCTATGTAATCGTATATAGGCCGCTTCTGGATTGGTGTCACTGCCACCCGGCTGGCTTGGTCATGTGTTACCTTTCTCATTCCAGTTCAGTTCTCCATCTGCATGTGCTGTTTGTGCCAGACCTCTAGGGAATTGCTGATCACCTCCAAAGATATTTTTCTTTTCCCCTTTCCTTCCCACACCAGGTAATAACATTTTCCAAGGACCTGAGCGGAGGTACTGCCTCCTTTGTCTCTTGACCTGCAGGCTGGCTGATTCCTGGCTTTGGAAAGAGGGCCAGGCTGTGCATTATTCCTTATTCCCCCTTCCCCCGCCAGGCAGCTCACTGTCTTTGGGGCTGCTTCATGTCGAGACCCATCAGCATAAGAGACTATTAATGAGAATGGGAAGAGACAGAGCAAAGAGGAAAACACCACCATAAGATAAAAACAGATCAATAGTGGAGCCAAACAGAGCAAGAGGCACTGAAAGCAATTCACAAGCTGTCAACTTTTCAATGGACAGAGGGTTTCAGATAATCCCAGACAAACACAGAAAGGAAAGAGATGAACAAAAAGCCAGATCAGCACCCCAGAGGAAAGCAGAAAGCAGGTGTTACCTAGCCAAAACTCATCCTCCAGGTTCCCAAAGCCAACCCGGTAGTCAACCCATTTCCGGAAGAAATCAGTTTGGCCATTCTGACGCCTCTGGAATACCTGTGAAGAGAAGGAAGGAGAATGAGGTAAGGCTGAAGAAAATAAACTGCAATAAAGAGAATTGATATAATTGGGTTCTATATAGGCAATGACAAACATTTGCAGATAAGGATCATTTCAGTCCAGAACTTGATATTTGCACAGTAGCATGTGGAGGGTGCTCAGAGCCCTTCTGTGGAAGTGCAGAGGCACCCGATGAATAGGCTGGGGTGTGATTTTGATGTCCACTTGTACCCTTGCAATGTATAGAAGGTTAAGACTACATATCAAGCTCCCAAATAGTCAGGGGAAATAGGTTTGACTCTCACATTAATCTTTTGCACACAGAGTAGTAGAAAGCATTTCTCACCAAAAGAATAGGACCAACCTCAAATCATCTAGTCACTGTCATCATCTTATTGTACACCAAGCAAATGCATATCATTCACATTCTGAGCTGTTTAAGTGCTAATTTCATTTAACCTCCAATACATCAGCCTTGGCTTCAATTTCCAATTATGCTTTAAGAAGGAGGCACAAATATGTCAGAAACATAAAGGAAATGTCTCTCCAGAGTGGCTGTTATGAGCACAGCCACCATTTAACTCTATTCAAAAACTTCCCATTTTGCAAAGTGGAAAATCCAGCAATGTGCGTTTTGGCAGTGCTAGAGGAAGATGTGCAGGAGAGTCAGGGGGCTGGGTTTGCACCCCCACTGATCATGTCAGGGGCCAGGCTGCACTGTGAAACTCCCCTGCATTGATAGGAGGGGCTATCTGTGAGGTGGCCCCTGGCAGGCATGGGAGGAAGATAGTGACAGCAAGTGATATCTTCTTTTCCTGCAAACCAGTGCTCCCCGAAGGTTATGACAGTTCCAAGGAAGAACCAGGGGCCCAGGGAAGGGTAAGGAAAGGGACGGCCCTTGTAACTAGAGGTGGTTATCCAAGTTCCACTCCTCAGCTGCTCCCTTCTATGCCACCCTCTAAGAGAAGGAGCCAATACCTCACCACTGCTATATTATAGCTGCTCTTGTCAGCAGGCAAAATCAGAGTGGCTTCCATGAGCCTCTACTGCTTTTCCCAGCATCCTTCTCGAAAAGGGAGCAGGAGGAAAGGCAGTCATCCTGGACATCTGAATTGGCCCAGGCCACCTCAGCCTTCATATGCTAATTCCTGTCTCTGTTTCAGCCCATCTATGATTGAGGTGCTGCCTGAGGCCTTTGAGGCAATCAAGAGTCCCAAGTTGGATGTAGAGGGAGTGCATAAAAGGATAGCCAGAAGGAGGGTGGAGATGATGGACAGGTGCTGAGCGCTCAGAGCAGAGCCCTGAGGATGTCTGGATGTGTGGAGAACAGCTGCATGTACTTACAATCCAGCCGCCCCCATCCGTGGTCATGTCGCAGTACACTTGCAACTTCTGGCTGAGCTCCCCATTGAGAAAGATGGTGTAAACCCCACTCAGAGTGTCTCCGTTCATCAAATGCTGGGCACAGTCTTGAGGATGAGAGAACACTCGGCCCTCTGCACAAGAAAAGAGGTAATTTCTAGACAATGTCCTTTCCCCCACTGTGCATAAGAGCTGCTTGGATCACAGAAAGATTTAAGGGTCTCATAGTTGGTTCTTCAGCAAGAACCATAAGAAAATTGGATGCACATTGAGGCCATACTCTTAAGTGAAATAAATAGGACACACGTGTAAATACCGAATAGTTTCTCTAGTGTGAAAAACTGAGAGTGTAAATAAGGATTAAAATGAATAATTGATAATGTGAAATAGGAAGAAAAAGTCCAAGGGGGAAGGGGAAGTGGGAGGGGTAGGGGAAAGGAAAGAAGAGAAAGGAAAAAATATGAGAAAAGGAAAAATGGAAACAAAGTCTTTGTAAATAGGAAGGGTGGAGGGGGTGAAGGGAGGGCAGGGGAATGGGGAAAAAGTAAGAACCAAGATACATCATGTAAAGGTACAAGTTCCCAATGATAAATGTAAATGTATTGTATACCTAAAATGTACCAATAAAAGAATTTAAGAAAAAACCAAAAAAGAACTGTAAGAAATTCTCAGTGAATTCAAACAGTGCATGGGTATGAGAACTCTGCATTATTTTGTGATTCTCCTCTTCAACTGATGCTGCATATATGGGACAATGGTTTTATGAGGTATGGAGGCCAAAGAGCTGAATTTGCAGTTTGGCTTCTCCATTTACCTATTTGCTTGATTTTAGGCAAATGGCCTGGTTTCCTGAGTATCGGCTTTCTCATCTGTAAAATGGAGGTAACAAAGATTTCCCCCTTACAGGTGAAGATGTTTTAATATAGCCAGTGACTGGATGGATACTTAGGAGATGGTGAGAAATGTATGGGTCAACAAATCCGTGTGGATTCTACCTTCCAAAAGGGTGAAAGGCATCTAAGTGAAGCCTTCCATCATCTTCCATCAGCAGTCTTTAAGGCATGCCTGAACAAGCTCAGCATTAGTAAGAAGATGGATATCTATTCCTTGTGCAAAACAATCTCCTGATTGTACTAAACAATCAAATGGCCATGTTTTACAGTTTGGTTTAAGTTTAAGGAGAGGGCAGGGGAAGTAAATTGCAGCTCATCTTTCAGAGAGAACAGCCCAATTTGTAGAACAATATCTAATTAGCTGAAGGAGAAGCTTAAATCATGCATCTTGAGGAGCTTAGCTTTGGAACACATTTTTTTTTTTTTTGGTACTGCGGATCGAACTCGGGTCCTTGTGCTTGTGAGGCAGGTGAAGGAACCACTGAGCTAAATTTCCGGCCCAAGGGACACATTTTAATGCTTAGCAGGCAAGCCAAGAAGCAGTGAGCCCATCAGAAAAGGTTTTCTGGACTGCAGGAGGACAGAGCAAGTTGAAGGCAGCAGAGCTTGATGTGTGAGGAATGGCAGTTCTCGTGCCCTGCAAATACAGTGATCTGCTGAGCGAATGAAGAACATGGTGTGGCTGATGCTGTTCTGTATCCTTGAACCTTTAACAGTTATGAAGAAGCCAGGGATTTAGCTCAGGGGTTCCGCCACCTGCCTTGCAGGAGGAAAGACCTGAGTTTGATCTCCGGTACCAAAAAAAAAGAAAAGAACAGTTATGAAGAAAGGCTGTAGAGGGGCCTCACTTAACAGTCACTACTGTGTCTGTGTCCCCTGGTGGCAGAACAAGTACACTACAAATGTGACCTAGGGCCACTTGGAAGGCCAGATAGTGGGTCAGAGTATGTGACAGCATATTTTACAGGAAAGTGACCTAGTAACCTCACTCAAAGCCCTGGTTATCTAAGCCCAGGTCATAGGTCATCAGTGAAGCATCCTGTGTTAGGAAGAGGTTGGCAGACTTCATGCAAATCTCTCTGGAGGTGGGTTAACTCCTGGCACGTGGACTGTCCTTCGGCTTGTGGCCCCAACACTGTTAAGGGGAGCACCCATTTCAGGTAATTTGGGACAAAGGCACTGCCCACTTCAGAGAGTAACAATACGTTCGTGTAATTCTTGTACTTTACAAATTGTATTTTTGTTTCTACTTAATTCTTGTGAGACACTTGAGAGGAAGGCAGTTTGGTATAGATCAGAGCCTTGAGAAGGAAATTGCTCAGAATGATCACATGACTTACTTGGGTCACTTGATCTGAAGTTTGCAGCCCCCCGGTCACATGCTCTGTGTGTTCAACTAAAGCAGGAAACATGATGTACACTTTAGCTCCTGGAGGCCTTCGTCTATCCATGTGGCAAAGGGTTAACTGATGTGTGTATTTATCTCACAGGCATATAAAACCCCAAAAAGGTGCCTCAATAGGTTCAATGTTCAAGTTAAATCTTTACTCCTCGAAACTGACTTCCCTAATATAATAGCTGCAGAAAAGCTGTTACCTTTCATCTCCAGCTCTTTAAAGTTCTTGATTCCACCTATTCTTAGAGGTTACAGTTGCATTTCAGGTGACAGGTGCTAGTGGCCTCTGTCCCTCTCCCTGTTGCTTTGTGAGCATGACTATTATTTTCAAGCTATCCTTTTTTATTGTTGTTGTTAGACAGGTTCTTACTGTGTAGTTCAGGCTGGCTTTGAACTCACTATGTAGCCCACTCTGGCCTTGAACTCATGGAGATCCTCCTGCCTCAGCCTCCAAAGTGCTGGGATTACTGACATGCACCACCATATCTGGCTTCCAGGCTATTCTTGACCTGGTATCTGGAGCAATGACCACATCTGTCTTCTCTCTCCCCTCTTCTCTAACTGCCTGAGCTTCTCATTTTAAAGTAGCACCTAATATTCCTAGTCTTCTCCATGAAGCTACCTTACATACTAATAGTTCTTTCTTATGAAGGAAAGTTTCTTAATTCAATTCCAGCTCAGCTTCTTATAGGAACCCAAATTTCTCCCCAGCATCCAGTGTGTCCTCAACAAAACATTTCCCCTCAAACTTCAAAACAACAACCTCATTCAAATACAGCTACAGAACAAAACTAAGGAATTACATGGTCCTATATAAGCTTCACATTGATAATATTGATGAATATATTACAGATATTTAAAAAGAGATCAAATATATTGTTTTAAAGCTAGACTTAACACAAAAAATATAATAAACTGAGATGACTTGTCCTGGAGAAGGGAAATTTAAAATACATATGTGAGGGCCGGGGATTTAGCTCAGTGGTTTTGCCACCCGCCGTGCAAGCATAAGGACTGGAGTTCAATCCCTGGTACCAAAAAAAAAAAAAAAATACATATATGAGTCACTGTCATATAAAAGAAGGATTTACTTTTTTAAAAAAATCAGAAAATAGGAATAAAATCAACTTGAGAAAAAAGTGTTGTCTAAGGGGCACCAACACTGGCTGTGACAAAGGTCACAGATGGTACCTCAGGGGAGGAAGCACAATGCTTTCTTCCTCCTTAGCCCCTGTGCTCAGCTGGGTGTGGGGGTACTCCTGAACATGCATGAGGTTGATGCATGGTTGGTTGCTGGGTGTGCTTGCTGTACCTTTGATGAATCGCAGGGCCATCTGTTTGTTTATAGATTTGCAATTTAATCTGTGGCATTAGTGGGAAGACAATCAAGAAGCATTTTGCTTTTATAGACTATCAGGAGCAGCAACCTGGGATTTTCCCATCTTGGGAACTTGGAGAAGAGGCAATGCTTACCATGAAACCATTTCCCTCCAACCTGTTCTAGCTTTCAGCACTGCCAAAGTTTTGCTGCATACTCACCAGTCCTGGATCAAATTATTATTCCCTTTCATCAGATAAGAAAAAGCAGAGGCTCATACTAGTTCTCAAATTGAGGGCTTTATTAAAATTCAGATTTCTATATTCCACTGCAGATCTATTAAATCAGAATGTGAAGGAGTAGATCCTAAAACTCTTACTATACAGTGCCTCGGGTGAGTATGAAGGCCAGCTGGATTTGAATTTCTCTATTTGTAGTGTATATTTTCCTCTTCTCCTCAGAGAGCCTGCAAAGTAGAAGTGATAAACTAGATAATGCCCCAAGAGGGCTTGTGGCTTGTGGTCTACTTTCTCTGCCTAGATCCATATGATTGGGTGGATTATTGACTGAAAAGCTCCTCTCTCTCTCTCTCTCTCTCTCTCTCTCCCCCTCCCTCCTTCCTCCCCACCTTCCTATCTCCCTTTTGTTCTCTCTCTCTTTCCTTCCCATTCTCTTTTCCAGTAGATATGTCCTGAGTGGGCTCTTCCCAAGACTTAGATTAGATGGGATGGGATGGAGAGGGGATAAGAGGTTTTATTTAAGCTTTGTGTTTTAGTTCTTACCATTTCATTCTGCTTTGGGGGTGACTGGACTTTGGGTTAGATAATAAGTAAAAGCGCATCAATTCTTATTCTTCTGGCTCAGTTGTATGTACTGGGACTTCATACACTTTAGGAGATTGTTAGGCCCACTTTCAGATGGAATGCCAAATCATTCACTATCACCAGAAACTCATTTTTAACCCTAGCATAGATTATCCCAGTAATGTTATCAAAGGTAGAAATTTCAGTTCTGAAGCAAAACTGGAAGCTTTTCCTTCCCTTTGGTGCAATACATAGAGCCTGGCCTGACAAAGAAGGTTTTTTGTGTCCCCCCTCCCGGGCTGTGATGATTACCAAGCTAACACGGAAGCAGTGTCCAGTGATCGGTACACTGAAATGTCTCATAATTAAGTGTTTCTAGATGTAATTGTGAGATCAACAGGACCAGGGCACTCACCGGAAGAATTGCTCAGAAATTGGTTTATGTTGGGCATCAGAGGCTTAATGCTGAGTGGAGTGCAGGTATCTGTGAGACACACAGTGCAATCAGATGGCTCCCTACCGGCTGGCAGTGGAGGAAGAGACTTTCTCTGTCCTCATCCTGCCTTTAGTTGTGTTGTGTGCTTGGGTGCAGTCTTTAAATGGTCAGATTTAAAAGTTCTGGAAAGTACCTGCCTGCTGCCCTCTTTAATGGCCTCAGCACCAGAACTGAAGCAGTGACATCAGGACTTTTCTCTGATCACCGCCTCAGCAGGCTTTGTATAGG